TTTAATAACATGTGAAAATTGTATAAAAAATTATGAAAAAATTATCCTTATACCACCTTCCATTTTTTTAATATTAAGCATTTAGCTTCAATAAGGAAATGGGAAGTTATAGAAAAAAATTATATAAAAAAATTATCTTTAAATTATTTTATAAAAGAATTAATTAATTATAGTATAAAAAATTAAAACCACTAACCCGACTTAATACAAGAATTTAAACAAAAAGAAATATAAAGTTTTGAACTAAACCTAACTCATATCTCACTCTAGATGATTTTGATTGGTTAGTTAATAAAATTAAAGTTTATTTTTATATTTACTATAAAAATAATAATAAATATATATTTTAACTTGTATTTTAAAGATACTTGTTAAATTTTTTTTTTAAATGCTTATGTTTTAATTTTAAATTCTATCTAACCTATGCCTTTAGGGTAAAAATTAAGGGTATAATTAATACATCTTTTTTATATTAATTGATATAAAAAATAATAAAAATTGATATTAATTTTATCACCAATGCTATATGTATTTTTTTAATTAGACGATTGATTAATTAAATGTTAAATTTTATTTTTTTTAATGATAATTAATACTAAAAAGTGTTCTAAAGACATAAATTAGAAAAACTTTTAATTTTATTATTTTTTAATAATAGGTTGGTTTTAATTAAAAGGAAATGGTGACAAAAAAAAAGCTAAAAAAAAAATAAAGAAACAATGAGGCAAGAAATTTCTCCTAGCATGTGACTACTTACATGATAGCACGTGGCACCAAATGCAAAGTTACGTCAATAAAACTAATAGAATTGTGTAGGGTAAATGAAAATGAAACAATTTTGAAAGTTAATAAACTTGAAAGAAAACAAAGATTTTAGATTAAGATTAAAAAAAAAATAGATGAATTATTAAATTAAGCCAAATATTTTCATTTATATAAGATTATAAATTTCGCTTTCACTAGATAATAAAGATAAATTTAATGGGCAAACCATAAAAGACTATTCCCTTAAAAAAGCCCCCAAAATTTTAAATACCTTAATACTATTAATAGTAATAATGAGTACACCCACATATCATGTGTACCCTTTTTGCAGTTCAACAGAAAGGGACCATTGGATTATGCCGAAGACCATAAGGCCCCACATTTAGGGACATCTCGTAATGGTTAGTTTAGTACATTATAACACAATCTAAAGTCCAAATTAAACAAAAAATTTCTGATATATTATATGGTATATCCTAAATTCCCGACCACATTTTTGTATGAATAGTTTTCCACTTTTCTTGAAGATCACTCATACATTCATTATATGCAATGAAATTGCAGCACCTTTTTTTGGTCATCAATGAAATCGCAATACTGAAAAGTCCTAAAATGAAAATAGGGAATAATACTCCAATGGCAAGGGCAAGAATTTTGAATTGAGATACAAGTCTAGCAGCTGTCAGATATCTATACTCAAATATAAGGAAAACACAAAAATAAATTCATCAAAAAGTGGAAGATGGTTCAATTCTCCATATAACAGCCGGTAGGGAGACTTACTGTGTGGGCTAAATAGAAAACTGGCTTCGAATCTACATTGACTTGAAAAGATAGTATCTCTAACACTTGCCCATGCCCCCTCCTTGAGACATTGACCAGCAAAGAGCAACTTTTGGGTATTGCATACAAAAAGCCATGTGTCTTAATGTGTAGATGAAGCAGCAACACTACTGCCCAAACCCATCTTCTGCCCCAATGATGAAAGCTGGTCAACAAACTCTGATCCAGTTAAAATTTCAGTTGTCCCATATATGACATGCCTGACTGGCTGCTGATGCTGTACAAGCTCTTGCAAGCTACCATACTCCATATAATTGCCACCTCCAATCATGAAAACAATAGCTTCTTTGAATGGTCCTTTTAGATGGCTGCTACTAGTCCCAGAGCTTGACTTAGGGGCACGAGGATCAAATACAAGATAAGAATCAATTTCAGGGTTTGGCTTCCCCTCCATCAAAGCTTCCACTGTCCTTGTCAATGCCAGCTGCCTATCACTAGCCAATAGGTTCTTAACACCTGCAGTCACAGCACTTAGTGACTGCCCATACAGTTTCTCAGCCCAATCAACAATGTTACTTCTACTTGCAGAATTTGCTGATGCCAATGAAACATTCAATGACTTGATCTTCTTCACATACTGAAATGCACTAGTATCAACCTCGGACTCTCTAAGAGCTGTTTCCACTGCCTCTACTTCAGATAGATTAATGGTTTCTGAAGAAATAAGGTATATTATGGCAAACCGCAACTTATCCATCTTGTCACCTTTTCCTTTAAGTACACCCAATAATTCATTCCGATCTATGCCTCCCCTAACCAGCATGTCATTCTCTTTCTTTGCATAGGAATCAAGAGATCTCTCCTTGATCTCCCCCAACAACACAGTTGCAATGTTGGTATGCTTATCAATGACTTGCTTCCGCTCTGTCAACTCAGGCAGGGAGTTAACTGCATTCATCAGGTGCTTTGTGTTCCCAATCAAGTCTGTCCCATCAAACTCAGCTCCATCAGTCCCACCAGTCCTTCTATTCACCTCATCAACATCCTTCTTATACTTGTTCAGTTGAGTCTCAATCTCCACAGCAACTTCAGGAAATTCCAATGATCCATTTGCTGCCCAAAATGGATCTGAGCTATCCAATTCATATGACTTTGTCCCACCTTTCTCCCCTGGCACACTCAATCTATTAAGCTTCAAGCCAAGAACATCATGTACAAGGGGACGGTACCTAAAATCATGTTGTATCCCAACTGATAACTCAAAATTCCGATCAAAGATGCACAAAATTGGACGTTGAAATGAGCTGACAAAATTTCCACCTTCAGAAAACAAATTGTTTTTTGAGAACAAATGATCCCTGAGCTTCTGGTCCAATGCTGAAGCAACCATCTCTGCAGCGCCACCGCGCGGACACCTAATAATTGGTACCACGGCAAGCGTAGCCAGAACACAAAATAATCCATTGACAATCCTTTCAATAATCTCTTCAATCTCTTTATCCCCAGCTGATGGATCATTCAGATGCATGTAACAATACTTCTGTGCCAAGGAGAATAAATTATCCTCTAACGTAACAAACTCCAAATACTGATCATGGACCTTTGCAATCCTATCAATTGAGTCTGAACTCAGGGTCCCAGATGCAAGGTCTTCCAGAAGTGGCCTGGGTATTGATGAAGAGAAGTTCAGGTGGAAGCTATCATAGAGTGACCTCGAAGCATCAGCTATTACTCTCTGGATATTGGATTGAGTAGGCTGAATAAAATACACAGCCGGCACATCATGGACAGGTTTCCTTTCCTTGTCAATCAGAAAGTAAAGTGTAACACCATGTTTACGCAGATCCTTAACATGAATCAATGGAGACAAAATATTTTGGCAAAATTTATCATAAATCAAGATCTTGTACACCTCTTCATTGGCAGTTCCAGTTGAGTTCACAGGTTGATTCAGATTCAGCATTCGTACTACAACTTCTGTAAATTAAAATATAGAATTACAGATCAAAAAATGATTACGACAAAATCAGACTCATATTTCGTTCAAATCTATAACCCAAGAACAAGTATCAAATATAGTTAGCATATACGAAATCAAAGGGAAAAAAAGGGGTTTCTACTTGATTTTATGAATTTCACTTCACGGAACAATAGATCACACATCAAACACTGTCAAGATTGAACCCACAAGGGATTCTTACACTTGAATCTTGTAAATCGAGGAATACGGGTTTTCTTAGCTCGATTAAATGCGTTTAGATTCAATAAATTGAAGGAGAGATCTAAACAAAAATTACCTGTTTGTTTCTGGCGGAGATTGAGTGCCATGGCCACTGCAAATCAAGCTCGAAACCGTAGCTCGTGAGGTTTAATTCAATTGAGAGCTCTGTTCAACGGAAATCCAAGTAGAAAGGTGCGAAGACGGTAATGGGGGGTGAAGGCCCAAGCAAGAGTGCGGAGAGCCGTCTGGGGTATTCTACAGTTGGAATTTAATGTATTTGCCTCGACCACCAACCTAAAGCGTGTTTTTTATTTTTTATTTTTTGAAATTTTTTTTTTTTGTCGTGGGACGAGGTTCGAAACCGAGCAGAGGCGGAGGATATGCACTTTTTCAATGATATTAATTATTAGTCCTAAAGGTTAAGTACACTTAAAGTGTATTTATTTATTTAATAATAAGTAAAAATTATATAAGAGGGTGATAAAAAAAATTGTTTTTATATGAATTTATTTATTTAAAGATAAAAATAATTATTGATTAATAATAATTATTTTTTATTTTAAAAGTAATGAAGTTGA